GGGATTTAAAAAAAAGATTTGAAGGAGAAAATGGAAACAAAGCTTTAGTAAGTTAGGAGAATAAGAAGGGGTGAAGGGAGGGGAGGAGAATAGGAAAAAAAGAATGAAGATATATTATGTGCAGGTACAAATTCCCTATGATGAATGTCATCATTATGTATGACAAACATGTACTAATATAAAAAAGGTTATGTCAGGATTAAATGAGTTAAAATATATAAAGCACTGTCCTCAGTGCCTGGCATATAGCAAATACAGTAACTGCAAGCTATTACTGTTCTTAAGAAGAACAGGGAATGATGGGTATTGCTGTTTCAGAGAAATTATGCAGTGTAGGCCTATCTAAGGCAGAGAATGAAGTAAAGGAGAGAATCTTGCGGTAGTGGAAGAAGAACCTGCTAGGCACAAGAAAAAGCAAGCACAAAGAACAGGTTGGTAGCTTGAGCAGAAAAATTGGTGTTATAGGAATTGAGGTAAAAGAATAGACCAAACCACCAGGGGCTTTACAGAATGCTTCAAGTGAGAAGTCAGGGAAGGGCTTTCAGCCAAGCACTGATTGACTGTTGAGAAGGACGATTTCCAGTGGTTTCTGTGGAAAATAGCCTACAAAGGGGCCAGCTGGGAGGCTAAGGCAGGAGGTTTGCAGTGAGTTCAAGGCCAGTCTGGGCTACATAATGAGTTCAAGGCCAGCCTAAACTATATAGTTAGACCCTGTCTCAAAATAAATAAATAATAAATAAATAAATAGAGACGAGATAGCTGGTTGTTAAACCATACCAGCATACCACTGGATTCAAGATATATTAGTACTGTAAGTAGGAAAAAGCAAGGCATAGAACAGAATGCACAGTATATTGCCATTTGCATAAAAAGAACTCTATATATGTGTATTTGAGATTCATATATGTATAAACATTTTACACATACATAATCTGCATATATAAATATATATTTTCTTGAAAAAAATATATTCTAGAAAAAAGGATATGAAAGAAACTGGTAACAGTTATCCTTTGGAAAGGGCAACAAAGTGACATTAGTGGAAAAGAGATTGGCTTTTGCACCTTTTGAATTTTGTTCTCTGTGAAGGTACTAACTAGCCTAGGAATAGATAAATATAAACAAACTTTTTTTTTTTTTTTTCTGGAGACAGGGTCTCACTATGTAGTCAGGCTGGCCTTCACTCACTATGTAGCACAGGATGATTTCAAACTTGCAGTGATCCTCCTGCCTCAGACTCCCGAGTGCTGAGCACCCCTACACCCAGCAAGGAAGAAAATAATTAAGATTATTTTCCCAGATGTTAAAGAAATGGTAATAGAAACTGGGTTGAAGGACAAGACTGTAACCAGTATACCAGAATGAATTGGATGCTTTGGCAGAAAAAAATAATCACCACAAAGGTACTGGCACGTATGAAATAAAAACAAAAAGATGAAAATGTTTTTCTGTTTACTTGTTACTTCGATGACAATTTAACTAGAGTCACTTCTGTACAATTATTGTGTAATATTTTAATTTTTAAAATTTTGTAGGATCAGACTACTGCTTCCTAGCAGTAAATATTTGTGAAGTTTGAAGCTATCCTGAATTGTCTTTGCTTTTATTTTTTCCAGTATTGGGAATTGAAAATAGGGTCTCATCTATGCTGAGCAAGAGTTCTATAACTGAGCTACACCTTCAGTTCTTTATTTTTTATTTTGAGACAGAATTTTGCTAAGTTGTCCAGGCTGGCCTCGAACTTGTCCAGGCTGGCCTCAGCCTCCCAAGTTACTGAGATTATAAGCATGTACCACCACATGTGGCTATCTTCATGTTTTTATTTTCCCTGAATTCTCATATTTCTATTTTGTATTCTTGTTTCATGGAATTGAATTTTATACAGATGATTTTTTAAAAAATTAATTCATAACAATTTGTTTGGTTTCAAATTATTTGCTGCATTTGAGTGTTTTGATTTTCCCATTCCCATGAAAGAATTTTCCTTCTCTTTTTCCTGTTATCTTGTTGTTGTCGTCCCTCCCCCCCCCTTCTTCTTTTGGCAGTACTGGGGATTGAACTCAGTGTGTTGCATGTGTGTGGCAAATGCTTTGAGCTGTCTCTCCAGCCCTTTTAAACATTTTTTTGAGATTGGAACTTGCTAATTGTCTAGGTTTACAATCTTCCTACTTCAGCTTCTGAGTAGCTAGATTACAGGTATATGCCACTGTGCCCAGTCCTGTGCTTTTTAAAGCTAATTTTAAATAAGGTGAAATTGTATAGCTTGGTGGTGGCAAATGTGTGGACTGCTTGCCGCAGCTGGCTATTTGTATTGAAAGCTCTGAAAGGTTCGCCATCACTGTTATAGATGATCACCCAAAATTCTTCTCATAATATCAAGTTTCAGTGTGTGAATCAGTTCCTTTAGGTTTTCTGTCTCTGTGGCCTGCTTGAGGTCAACACCAGAGGTGTCAAAATGCAGTCTTCCTCCTTTCTTTCCTCAGCAGCAGATCATTTCCTGAAAAATATGATTAGTCTATGATAATTCTTGCTTAAGTCTACTTCCTCAGCATTTGCTCAGTACCAAACTGTGCCTGGAAATTCCCTACCACCAAAACCTCATTCTATTACTATCCTAAAAAAAAGAGAGTGTTGATTTTTTTATCTGTACTTTACTCTAGAGTCATGGATTCTGCTGGCTTCTCCTTAGATCTGCAGCCCCTAGCTCAGGCCTCTGCTGCAGTTGTCATCCCATATGGAACTAGCATTATTATTTCTTATTCTTTTTGCTCCTTTTCAGTTTTCTAAAAGGAGAAGCAGAAAAGACCTAACTTTTCTTTATCATATTAATACCTGGATACCTTCAGAAGATAATTTTGCATTATAATTTGCCTGACATTTAATAGATGCTTTCAATTTAATATCTTCTTAAGTTCTAGGAAATATTTTTTCTTATTTCTTTGACAGTTTCATCCCTTTTTATTATTCTCATAGTCCTATGCCTTTATAATTTTCTTCTATCTCCTCCCTCTGTCACTTGGTGGGTATTTATCATGGGACCTCAGGCGTGCTAGAAAAGCACCCTATTACTGGGCTACACTTCCAGCCCTTCTCATGTCTCTTATTTCTTAACATAGCTATGTTTTTTCTTTTCTTCCTTTCCTCTTTTTCTCCTCTCCTCCCTCCTCCCATTTTACAATGGAAGAAGAATCAGCTCAATTTTCCAACTTATTGATTGCATATATGTTATTACATGTTACATATATATGTTAATATATATAATATTGTATATATATATATATATATATATATGTATATATTCTTTTTTTTTGAGACAGGGTTTCCCTATATAGTTCAGGCTGGCCTTGAACTCACTATCTAGTCCAGCCTGGCCTAAAACTTGTGGTGATCCTCCTGCCTCAGTCTCCTGAGTGCTAGGATTACAGGCATGTGCCACAATGCCCAGCTAGCAATTATATTTTTAAAATTCTCATGAAATCTGAACATTTCATAGCATCTCAATCTTATTTGGTTGTGATATGCTTTAAGTAACTGTGGATACTGTGTTTCAAGTTTTCATTTGTATCTAATAACTATTTTTTTATTAGAGTGATCATTGAATTTGATTTTCTAATTTGTTCTCTTGGTCCCTCCAGAATGTTGAGTCATAGGTTTCTGGAGCTATTTGTAAGCTCATTTCCTCATTTCAAATGAGAACTGTTTACTTGGTGATGAATGCAGGTTTTGATTACAGGACTCTGCCTCATGGGATTCAGTAGGAACAGGCAGACTATGCAGATAACTTCTCTTCTTAGCATAGTTTCCCTAACCCTCCAGGGCAATGTCCTTCCTCCCTAACCTTAGCTTATTTTAGAGCTGTGGTATGCTGGTAAATATTTAACAGCCAGTTCAGGAATGGAGAACAGTTCCATGCCATGTAAACTCTCCTACCCGAGCCAATTTTAACCTATCAATATAACATTATTGAATGGAGGAGATAGGAAGAGATGTGCACAGTAGACTCCCATAAGCCTGGCTTCCTTCGGCACACCACCATTCTGTGGTAACTATTTTAGAAAACTACCCTTAGCTTTCATCTGTACTCAGACAGGGGAGCAACTTCAGGATCTTTTGGGGTCCTAAGGCTGTAGCTCAGTTTATTTATCTGTTTAGTTAACAGACTGAGTAATCTGCTCCCTTTAAAGCCTTTATGATCTTCCACTGCACTAGATTTTTCTCTCAATTCTGTTTGCATTCTTTAAAAAGAATCCTTATTATGTTGTTTGCTTGCTGAAAGCACCCTTTTTGGTGAGCTGTTTTGCATCTACTTTTCAATTTCTATGCAATTTCAATGGAATTTGGAGCAGGAACAGGAAAGCGGAAGTCCTTCTATTTCATGCCTTAACTTGTTTTTATCAGAAGTCACTTCCTTGTACGTCTTAAAAGTTCATCTCCTCCCATGACCAGTGGTTTTCCTGTGAGCTCATTATCCTAAATGATGGTTTGACCAAGAAGGGCCATGGGCTGCTGAGAGGCTTCTGAGACTTGGGGAGCCAGCCCAAGGCTGTGTGCTTGTCCACCTAGGCTCTAACTAGGGAGTGCATGCCTTTGTTCACGGAGGCCATGCACACTGGCCAGAGAGGAGAAGCCCACACGTACCTGGCCTGGGGAACAGCTGGGAGTACAGGGAGGCAGATGTCTCTTGTGATAGTTGTGATGAGACCCTGCCAGTGGTGGCTTCCAGATAGGTGTGGGCATGTGTGGGCTTTTCCTTTAATGGAAAACTCCCAAACCACTGTGAAATACTAGGTAGCTGCAGTTCCCCAGGTCCTTCCCAGGTATGCAGGTCATTGATGGGCTTAATTCCATGTCACATTAGAGAGGCAGATTACAACAAGCTCATCTCCCGGTGACAGAATATATTTTCCTTAAACAGGAAAACTTTTCCTAAATATTAAAAACATTATTTCCCATCTCACAGGCTGTTTTTTACAGTGTGATTTTGATATTATTTCATTTAGAAATGAGATCCATGTCTCCTCCCCTTGGCACTGGGCAGGAATGTGATTACAGTACAAATAATGCTACGTGACTTTTGAGGCCAGGTCATAACTAGCAGAGCAGCATCCACGCGGTTCTCTTAGGACACCTGACCTTGAAACCCAAGCACCATCCTGTGAAGAAGAGGGCAGGCCATGAAGAAGTCCACAACACCAGAAACTGAAGCTCACAGCCCATCCTTAGCTGCCATCCCAGCCTACAGGTGTCGCCAGTTATGAATGTGTCATCTGGACAGCAGGTCCTACAGGCTTCAGGCAAGTGACTCTAGCCAATGAAATGTAGGGCACAAATGTGCTTTCCTTCTAAGCCCTCTACCCTAAGAGCCGATCCATGAGCAAAATAAAGGATATTATTGGATATCACCTGTTTGTCTCCATAAAAATCAAAGCTTCAGTCTCATAGGGGAACTTTTCCTGAAGACTCTGGTAGTCATTAAATTTTTGCCACAACTTTCACCAAATTGTTAAGCTGCTCCAAGGGGACAAAAATATAAATAAATGTGTTTACAAGCTTCCCCCGATTTTCCTCTATATCTTGAAAGGTTTACTATATTTGTATATGTATATAAATGTATTTACTATTTTATATATATAATATATATATACACGTGTACAGATAAAGATCTAGTTATCACACAACTTTTATTAAATTTTCTATCACTTTATTATTGATTTGAAACATCGCTTTTAAGCTGGGTGTGGGTTTGGATGCCTATAATCCCAGCGCTTAGGAAGCAGAGGCAGGAGGATCATTGAGAATTTGAGGCCAGCCTGGGCTACACAGAAGGGGACAGCAAGGAAACTTGCTAATTTTGACCTTTACATTGGATGGGGGGTGTCTAGGCTAAAAATTCATAACTACAAACTAGCACTTACATGAATTTGTAGTCTGAATATTAGCTAAAATTTAAAAAAGCGCCTACCAAACCTCAAGTAGATAATATATTTTAAAGTGGTCCTGGATCACTCATATGCCAAATAAGTAGCAGAGGTAAACACAAATCCTCTTTGAATGACAACAACTTTAACTCATGCCTAAGAATTTCCACAAATAATTAGTTTTAAGGAACATGAGACCATCAACATTAAAAATCACAAGCACAAAGAAACCAGGCACCATAAATAAAAATGACATAAAAAATACTAGAATCAGACTTACAAGTAGAATTCAGATATTGAATTTATCCGACAGTATAAACAGTTGTGTTGAATATGTTTAAAGAAGAGATTGGAAATGATGAGCAAAAAAATAAGATTATATAAAATGAAGCATGAAGTAGAACTTTTAGCTCAATAAAATAATTAAACTTTAAAACTCAAAGAAAGGATTAAATGTATAACATATAAAGAACATAATTACTGAACTAGAAAAGTAATATCTAAAGACAATGAAAAATACAAAAAACAAGATTAGTAGATGATAAAGTGAATTCTAAATACAATGCTGTTCTAAAAGCAGACAAGATTCAACATTTTAAAAGAGAATAGATAAAATATTAATAAATGTTACTGTTAATGATCCTAGCATATCAGTCCAAGATCTCCCAAGATAAATAAAAATATTTCCAGCCAAGTGTGGTGGTGCATGCCTGTAATTCCAGTACTCAGAAGGCCGAGGATCGCTGTGAGTTTGAGGCTAGCCTGGACTATATAGTGAATTCAAGCCCAACCTGAACTAATCACAAGACACTGTCATGAAAAAAAATCCACACTCATAGTGAAATTTCAATCAGTAAAATGGCATCAAAGACACAAAAATTTATTAAAACAGAGATCAGATCACCTATAAAAAATAAAAGTAATTAGACTGAAACTGACTTTTCAACAAATCTCCAAAGAATAGTATCTTTGCTATGATAGGAGTAAATAAATGTTAACCTAGAATTACATACCCAGTGGAAGTATCTTTTAAGGAAGAAAGTAAAATTTAAAAGAAAAAATTTCCAACAATAAAATTAGAGTTTGCAAAAAAAATTAGAGTTCACAAATAGATTTTTACTAAAGGAAATTCTAAAGTATGTGGTTCAGATATGTAAGCATGATTTTAAACCAGTGTGGTCACACACGCCTATAATCCCAGCACTTGGGAGACTGAGGCAGGAGGTTGCTCTAAATTTAAGGCTAGCCTGGGTTACATAGACCCTATCTCCAAAGGGAAAAAAAAAAGACTTTAGATGGAAGACTGAGTTATAAAATAATATATGGGTAATTTAAATGATTTAAATATATAAGATGACAAGTATATAGTTTATGCATTTTTTAAAAAGACAGATCTAAAATACTATTTTAATATGGCACATAAATTGGAGAAATTAGTGATCAATTAAAATATTCTAAGGTCCTTGGATTATTTTTTTAAATAAGAAAAGAAAAAGAGAAAATACTGATTCAGTTTAGACATCACTGGTTGAGAGGTTATGCACAATAAGATAGCTGAGTCAACATGAAAGTATGGAATTAAAAAGTATGACTAACAAACTAATGGAAAAGATGGGATTACAGAAAGCCAGGTGCAGTGGCGCAGACCTGTGACCCCAGATACTTGAGAGGTTGAGGCAGGGGGGATCACAAGTACTGAGTATGTGTGGGCAAGTCAAGGACACTCTGTCTCAAAATGCAGTTAAAAAACAGCTGGGTATGCAGCTTAGTAGTGGAGCACTTGCCTACGAGCACGTAGGAAGCTCACGTTGAAAAAAAAAATCCCAAAAACTTCAGTTGCAGAAAAAAAAAATGCAATGGAATAGATAAAAACAGATAAATCCATACAAGCAGAGATAAACTCATAATAATGGAAGTCACAATACATATAAATGAATTAAAAACTCTTCAGTTATTTTTCTTGGTATTGGAGATTGGACTCAAGAGTCTTAGTTTCCTATTTTGAGAAAGGGTTTCACTAAGTTGCTGACTCGCTCAGGCTGGGCTCAAACTTAGGATCCTTCAGCCTCGGCCTCCCATAGTGCTGGGGTGCCACTTCAGCCAGCCCTTGTTATTAAATTAATACATATTTTAATTGGTTTTCTTTTCTTCTCCCTTTTAGATAATCTATAAGAGATAAATCAGTAGTAATTTCTAAACTGAATCCTTGGGATACATGATATGGTATAGTTGATACCACAGATTTTAAAAATCTATTTAGAAATCTGGTGCCAGGCTTGGTGGCAGAGGCCTGTAATCCCAGTGCTTGGCAGACTGAGGCAAGAGGATTGCCACGAGTGTGACGCCAACCTGAAATACAGTGCATCTCAAAAAACCAAACCAAAGTGAAAAAAAAAAAGAATAAAATTACTTTCCTGGACCTCCTTCATAAACACTCTGTATCCCATAAAAAGAAAAATCCAATTGGATTTTATTGCCAGTGGTGGCGAACCTATGACGTGCATGCTGCATGGGACGCAGATGCCTCTCTGATGGTATGTGAGCTAAGTCGCGCCAGATCTTGAAAGTGGACAGCTAAAATATTTTCCAAATATAAAAATGCATTTAGAAAATTCTACATTTGCAAACAATCCTACAAGCCATCAGGAAATCTAGACAAAATTTTCTAGCATTGTAGCAGGGAGAACTTTAGCGACAGATTATAAGGTGGAGACAACCCTGTGTTTTCTCCTCAAGATAAAGCTAAATTTGAAGAATTTGACCTTTCCAGCTTACATTGGTTAGATTTTGGAAATCTGGAAATAGAGCTATTGAAATTTTAGGAGCGCTCTATCTGGAAAAATAAATTCTATGACCTGTGTGCATAAGACAGACTGCAAAAGGGATAACAAAGGACAGCACAGTTGGTAGTTCTGAAAATGAAATACTTAAAGTGTGGAATTCTCTACCAAATAATTTTAAATAAATGAAAGCACATGAGTTTGCTTTTCTTACTTTTTTTGCAGTGTCGTATGCTTGTGAGCAACTGTTTTCAGCTTTGAATTATATCAAATCTGATATGAGAGACTAACAGATGAAGGCTGCATGTGTTGCCCTCAAACTAATGAAGTATGAGCCAATGTTTGACAAATTATCCGCATACACACAACCACAAAGACTGGGCTGGGGATTTAGCTCAGTGGTGCTGCCCCCTGACTCTTAAATCAATCTCTCAATCCCCTGTACCAAGAAAAAAAAAAATCACAACAGCAAAGATCACATTAACTGTGCAAAAAGCATACCCAATGCAAGCTTTTACCTCTCAATAAAAAGCTATTTGTGAGCTGGGCATGGTAGCACATGCCTGTAATCCAGCACTAGGGAGGCTGAGGCAGGAGGATTGCCGCGAGTTTGACACCAGCCTGGGCTACATAGTGAGTTCTAGGTCAGTCTCAACAC